TAAACAATCCTTGATAGATAAAATTAATGAAGTTTGGACAAATCTTCCCGAAAATGTCATTCAGAAGTTGATTGCTTCAATGCCGCGCCGTTATCAGCAAGTTATTAATAATAATGGATATTCTATCAATTACTAATGTATTACTTTCAATTATTATTGTTCTTAAATGTGATAAATATTTTTTGTTGAAATAAGACACAATAAAATCTGCTGAATACAATTAGTTTCTCTATTGTCGCCCCCATTCTCCTCAATTTTTATAATCATTATTATTTACCATTTTTAAACTGATTAAAAGTACACCAAAATTTTGTAAAATATTATTTTTTTTTGTAAGAATAGTTTGTTAGTAAACATAGCTGAAAATCAGAACCTAATATTTTTTTTTATTCAAACATGAATAAAAATGCACTTTGTTGCTCTACTTCTGTCCGATAGTGTATGTTCCGAACTAACATCGATATTTGGATAAAAATTGGTGTCTTGGAGTTTTTGATAAAAAAAGTTCTCTTGGTAAAGGTATCATAATTAAGGTCTCTTGGTCTACGAGTAACATGTTTATTTCTTGTCATTGACATATATTGATAATTTCCATTCTAAATATCTTGATAATGGTTAGCCGTAGTGATTTTTACGAAGATACTTTTTAACGTAAAAAGCGGCGGAAACGTATATTTTATTATTCGGTATTTTAATTCAGGTACGGACGAAACATTACTTTTTAAAATAGTTAAGTGGTGCCCTCGCCCCCTACAAATAGGAGTCATATTGACATCGAAATCAAATTTTTCATGTCAAAAAACACCCAGATACCAATTTGAATCCGAATATCGACATTAGTTCAGAAATTATTTGAGTAAAATAATAAAACCGAAATAAAAATGAAATTTCTACACCCTGTATCTCCAGGGTGCAGAAATAATGAAGCATTTAAGGACATAATTTATAAGAACTTTTTTGAGGAACTTTTTCAAGTTTCCCAAATACATTTCGAACCACCCTGTATATGAGATTGTTAGCGACAAAACTCTTAATCTATAGCAAATATTAAAGAAATATAGTTTGTGAGGAAGAATATTTTTCCTTACAAAAGAAACAAAACAATTATTTTGGAATATAATACAGGAATATAATAATTGTCAGGTCTGACAGGATTTTTTGGAACCAAACCCTAACATTAAACTGTTAATGTCGACATTAACTGGACATCGCACTTTAACCGTAACATATGCAATGCGTGGGATCCGTATTCTTCATTGGCGTAACAACAGGGGTGCCGCCCTTCCCCCCCCCCCCTCCTGCTGCTGGGCACCCCCAGAGAAATCCTGAATTATGACTCTTGGCTAAGTATTAATTTTATTTGCTTGTGATGCAGTAAAAATGACGTTTTCCAGTTTTGTTTAGTTAATATTATTTTGTTGTGTTCAAAAAATGTTCTAGAAAATTTGTAGGTATTTAAGTAATCTACGGGAACACGGTTTGATAACCAAGCCTATGAAATTTATTGATAGAGAAATTCATGTAAAGGTTTTATTCCAAAAATGTGTTTTTTAATATTATTTTTAATTTTTAAAAAAACAAAAGCCCTAGGCTTCCCCTGGGCTCAACACTAGGCCCCCCAGGCCCACCCCAGGATAAATTGCTAGTTACGCTAATGGTATTCTTTTATGTTTTTTTTTATCGAAATGGATAGTAATTTTGATGCCCCTCATATTATACAGATACAGAATTAATTTATTGAATCACTGGTTTTATGTAAATAACTTTATGCTATTACATAATTTTCAGAGAAAAATTAAATAATTTCGATTAATTTAGTTAGATTTTACTTAATAAACCTTGAATTAGTGTTTGATCACCCAATTAGGCTAAAATAACCATTAAAATGCAATATCATTGGTTAACCCAGCATAAATTAATTTTTTTCTTAAAAAATGTTCCTTGGATTGGTAATGTTTTAAACAAAATATAATGATATTTCACTTAAATAAGAGCAGATGACTGTCAATAAAAATTATAAGAACTTCATTACATAGAAAAAAATTGGCGCCAGGAGGCACGTATAGCTGCCCGTACTAAAATATGTTAATAAAAAGTTGGTAGGCTTAAAAATTTAAAAAAATTGTAACTCAGTAGCTAGCGAAACGCGGTTTTCAATTTAAGATTAGGAATAAAATTTGCAACAAAATTTGTAATAACATCAAAATCAGTCAAAGTCGCAGTTTTTGAGATAATTGATTATTTACATATTTTAGTATGGGCGGCTATAGGTGCCTCTCGGCGCCATTTTTTTTTCTATAGGCTTGGTGCATTTCACTTGATTTTAAAAATTTCAACAATAGTGCCACACAGCGCTTCGTACGGTAGAAATTGGAACATTCCGGCTCAGTATTTCACGCAGTCCCGATGTTGATCGCATTGATGATTGAAACATTAAAATTGTGGCTACTAGTGCTAACTACTAGTGCCAGTTATTGAAACTATAAAATTCTCAGGTATGAAGTTTGTGTGATATAACGCTGTTTCGGGTAGTAAATTATTAGCGGGTAGCGTTATTATGTGACAATTTCAAATGATAATTTGCCGAAAAAATGTTAACACGAAAAGGAGAGCATAATAATAATTGCGTCGTTGTAGTGTGAGTGCAATAACACTCAATACAACTCTTCCGGAACATTTGAAAAAATCACAGCTTTATCACACCGAACGTAGGGATTGTACTGGTAGTGGGTCACTAATTGCTCTTGGTCACATACTCTAGATTCACTCTGGATTTTAAGTATAACGTCGCATTATGACAAAAATTTCATTAATTTCAAAATTATTCAAGATAAGAGAAATGAAAAAAGAAAAGAAACAAAAAAGAACAAAAAAATATACATAAACCGAAAGACATGACAATACATTTTAAAGTATAGGTTCTTCTCTACATATGTATAGGTAAGTCCGGACTTTGTAAAATGTGCTTGTGAAAAATAAATTACAAAATCAATGCAGAAATCAAAAAATGGGGATTAGATAAATTCTCGTTTTCTTTCTGTTATTTTTTATTTTCATCGTAAGAAAAATGACATAAGATAAAATGACGCACTATATGTTTATTTAATAAAGTTGTATCATCTATTGTGTCTGTTAATTTTTTTTAGTGTCGCAATAACATGTAAATAAATCAATTTTTAATTTAAAATCAAGATAACAAAAGAAAATATATATAATACAAAAGAAGTTAATGGAATTAGCATTTTTTATTTAATAAAGTGAGACTTTCAATTTAGTAAATAAAGATGAACTACAGAATTATTACGAAAATACATAGCAAAAAATTCTAGATACAATTTGTCCGGTGGTTTTTTAATGACACAATACAGAAATGACACTAATTTGTAGCCAACTCTAATAATTAAAACGTACCTAAGGGTTGTACTTGCAGTGGATCATTATTATTTGGTATTGGTCCTACATTTTAGATTCACTTTAGAGATCAAAAATGAGGATTAGATAAATTCTCGTTTCCTGTCTGTCATTTTTCATTTTTCACCGAAAGAAAAATGACATAAGATAAAATGACTCAACTATGTTTATTTAATAAAGTTGTATCTATTGTGTCTGTTTTTTTAGTGTCGCAATATACCATGTAAATAAACCAATTTTTAATTTAAAATCAAGATAACAAAAGAAAACATATATAATACAAAAGAAATTCATGGAATGGATTTTTTTATTTACAGACAATTTAGGCAGGTTTTAGGGCAGGTGTAATAGGGGAATTACCCCTATTACCCCTGTTCTAAAACCGCGCTTGAGAGTAAACTAGTTTGCAACTTTTGTCTCAAAATAGTCGCACCGTAGGCTATGCGCCCGAGGTAAAAACCTCTCTTGTCAAAAAGAAGTCTTGTTTTTTTTTCGTCCGAACCATAGTTTTTACTTAAAAAAAAATAAAGTCAGTTTACTTCAGGGTCATATTGCTAAAAAACTGACGCAGTGATTGTTCTGTGGAAATCGTTTCTGCATCGGCTGAATGAAAATTAAGATATACAAAAAAAATTGTACATCAAAAATTTCGTTACATTACAAACACCCTGTATTTATTTCAAAATATTAAGTGAATTAATTGGACAACAAAAGAAAATATATATGACAAAGTACTCAAAACTTAGTTTAAGGAGTGGAACATTTTATTTAATATAGTGACTCAATTTGGTAAATAAAAATAAACTGCAAAATCTCTACAGACAATACATACTAAAAAATTCTTAGAAAAAAATTTCCGGTTGTTTTTTTAATGACACACTAATGAAGGATTAGGATTAATAATCCTAATGATGAATTAGGATTAATAATCCTAATAATTGAAACGTACCTAAGGGTTGTAATGGTAGCGACAGTAGCGACCTCTCGTTTTTAGTATAACGTCGCATTATGACAAAAAATTTCATTAATTTTAAAATTATTCAAGAAGATAAGAGAAATTATTATGGGAGAATAAAAAGTTATACACAAAACGAAAAGACATGGCAATAAATTTTAAACAATATTTTCTTGTCTACATATAGATAAGTGCGGACTTTGTAAAATTTGCTTGTGAAAATAAATTACAAAATCAATGCAGAGATCAAACAATCAGGATTAGATAAATTCTCGTTACCTTTCTGTTATTTTTCATTTTCACCGAAAGAAAAATGACAAGATAAAATGACGCCGCCTATGTTTATTTAATAAAGTTGTATCTATTGTGTCTGTTAATTTTTTTAATGTCGCAATACCATGTAAATAAACCAATGTTTAATTTAAAATCAAGATAACAAAAGAAAATATATATATAATACAAAAGAAGTTCATGGAATGGATTTTTTTATTTACACTCAATTTAGTAAATAAAAATGAACTACAGTATCGCTACGAAATTACATAGGCAGTAGATACAATTTGTCGGTTGTTTTTTTAACGACACAATACATAAATGACACTTATTTGTAGCAATTCTTATAATTAAAACGTACCTATAAGGGTTGTACCGGTAGGGGCTTAAAATTTGGTCCTATATTCTAGATTGGCTCTCGATTTTAACCTTAGAATTCCGCCCGGTTAACAAGTTGTATTTTTATAGGCACGAATCTCGCGTTTGTATGTATACAACGTTCTATTTTTTGAGTCATAGGCCGTTTCCGTGTCGAAAATACAAAGGTGTGCGTGTTACTTGCCGTTCGTCAGCCGCCGACGAAAATTTCGCGACTATTCTGATTTTCGAGCGCGCGAGTTCAGGGTTTGTCAAGTGCCCGGCGCGGCGGTGGCGCATGTGATTTTTGTTCTAATATTTTTCTCGATGATCGTTGTTGGTCGCGTTGACCGATAGAAACCGAAATGAAAATCATTTTATGTCGCTGCTAAAAAAACATACTCTACACTCTACCATAGTAGAAGGAAAAGAGTAGTTGCACTCTCTCAAATATTTTCTGCCAGCTTTTACAATCTGTCGAATATCGGCAGATTGTCGAGCGTTTCAGTTAAGTTCCGTCCGTCGACCTGCGAGGTTCGAGCGTTGCGTCCCAGCACATAGACGAATTGACAAAAAATGAATCTCACTGTGTGCTGTTATTGATTGCAGTAATAATTAAAAAATTGTGCTTTCAGTTTTTTTTTGAGAGTCATTTGTGATCATGTTTGTGTTCAGGTTAATTTTCTCATGACTGATTATTACTTAATAATTTGATATTATTTTCATTTAAACCTCAATTTTTAACGATTTTACTTTTGACAACCATCCCTTGCTTGCTGTTTAACGAACTGCACCATCATTGAACAAAAATTTGCTAGTACCGAAAGTACCGAAAAAAAACTGGAAATCCCGGTTCCTTAGAGGCATGGTACCGAAATTTCCAGTTCCGAAAAGCAGCTCCGGTTCCGAAAACCCTGCAAAATAAATGCAAATATTTTTAGGAGTAGTATATTTTGACCCCAGAAATTGATAATATGGTAACTAGGGTTCAGAACCGGAAATTCTCGGTTCTTTTAAGATATCAACGAACCGGGACTCGAAATTATTAATTCCCGGCTCTTTCGGTACCTTCGGGACTCGGTAACAATAACTAAAAAAATATTCTTTTATTACGTGAGAAAGTAGTGATGCTATTTCTCATTGTTCTTGCTTCTTTTCTCTTTTGAAATTTCTGTAATGTTAATTAGCAATTATTGAAGTTTAAATATGTTATTTAATTATTTAGTACCATGTGTTGTTCAATGTATTACTTATCCAATGAAAATCACCTAATCAATATATTACTACAAAACAAACACGTTAAAATTAAATTTGTTTTAAATTAAAAAAAAAGTTGTAGAAAATCTTTGAAATAGATAATAATATAAAAATATGTCATTACATATTCTTTCCGCATTTCTTCCCATCAGAAGATTTTCAAATACAGAAGAACTGTTACTTACACGAAATGTGAAAATATTCTGTTTTCAAGCAAATTTTTACTCGATGATCAATTTTTTTTTATTTTATTTTATTGTGAACTCATATTTTCCTAAATACATTTCTGTGAAACTATAGCGAGTGTCACGACTATACTTTGCCTAGTTATAGACCACGACTATACAACTATGTCAGTGGTTACGGGACGCGAGAACAAGGTCATATAAAGTGGCAGAAAAAGAACAAAAGATTTGACAAGGAGTAAAGCTACTAGTTTCCTTATACTATGACTCTACCTATAGTTTTTACTGAATAATAACTCAAATCACAGCCGACTCATTAGACAGCCAGTCGACTTACTATCATTTACATGGAACACTTAGATATACGTAGGCCTGTTCCTGTTCCAAACACCGGAACACCGTTTCAACACCGGTATTGGGCTGAAACCGATGGTCAAATATGAGCTATGCGGTGTTCCGCTGTCGACACCGACACCGGTGTTCATCTACAACACCGATGTTAATCTATAACACCGGTGGTCATCTCTACACCAGTGTTCATCTCGACACCGGTGTTGGTCTGGACACCGATGTTCATCTCAAATCCCGGTTTTGATATCGACACCGGTGTTTGGTAAACGTGTTAAAGAAGAAATAATGTTAATAAGTTCAAAATAGACCTCAAATATTAGTAATTAGTTCTCCTATTAGTTCTGTGGCGTGTTCTGAAATACACCCGATTATAGCATTTTAAACAGTCTTGGACAACCCCGAAAAATGTTTCTAATTTGCTGGACCTTGCCAACCCTGCCTACCTTGCCAACCCTGACGAGCTGCCACTGCTTCTTATATACCCATATAAATATTTATTTCAATTATTTTTAATTTATTATAATATTATGTTGCAAACTTGGGACTTCGTAACAAAAATGCGAGTGTAATTATTGCAAATAAATATTTTAATGTTTTATTCATAATATTTTCTACAAAACATGAAATTAAACTTTATTGCATTAAATAAATATTAAAATAATGTCTTTTTTATTTTTAGATATTATTTGTTTTATAGAAATATAGGTACATATATTCTAGAAATGGGTGACATGGTAACAGAGCAATTTCCTTATGTACCTCAGCTCTAAGTGCGTATAAAGTTATGGTTATGGTTTCGAAATAATATTTTTAATATTACGATAGCTATTAATTTTTTATTAGTTACGATAGCTCAAATAGGCAATATAAAATAGATAGTGAGGTTTTTGCCTAATTCCAACAAGTTTTTGAAGCGAAACTTAAACCATTTTTACGAATAATTTGGTACCACACATAGACTTAAAATAAAATATAGACTGAGCATCTCATTCATAAATAGCTGGAACATGCGGTCAGACAATGTCTTGTTATTTTTGTGTTATTGTTTTAGGTTATAACGAGTGCGACACGAGCGATAGATAGGTTGTCTCTGTCGTAACGGTCGTTCCCTGACGACTCTGCCGAGAAACACAACACTGTCTTTCATTTCTCAAGTACACCTGAACTCTCCGTATCATAGCCGGGTAATTTTTTTATTTTAATGAACCTATAATTAAATTAAAAATATATCGTATTTAAACTTTTTTATATTTTATTAAGATTTAGGACAGGTTTTTTGAATAAAAGTTTAGAAAAAACGTCTTAGAGTCCAAAAAGGATAAAAATAATGAAATACACGTTATAGAAGAAATGTTATTATCGAAATGACGTAATTTTTGAAATTAATAATAAATTATTAATTTTAGTCAAACATTTACAACCCCTAATATTAATCAAAATAGGATCTATTCCACAGATATACTAGAATCGGCGACAGGTATATTTCTACTTTATTCGATAGAAAATGACACTCTGAATAGAATGACATATCATATGTCAACTTTTGACATTTTCGCATATGGTTTAATTGTAATTGTAACACGCGGTTCATAACGACAATTTGACTCGAAATACCAGATGTTTGGTATCAATATATTCATAAAAAATGCTTTTTCCAAATATGCTAATGAGTCACCCTTGTTCCATTTGAAAAAATTGACATATGTATGATTAAAAATACGATTTGTACATCTTTTAACCGGCCTAGACAAGACACGAAACCCATTAGACGATCAAAACTATTTTTCCAAGGCTCCTTGATTAAAACTAGTGTTTTTAATAACACCATGGCACCCTGGATTGAAATTTAAAATACGATTTGTTTTTAAGCGACAATGTCAAAAGTTGACATATGATATGTCATTCTCTTCAGAGTCATTTTTTATCGATACTTACTTACTCGATGGTGCCTTTAAAAATCAAAAGATGTAATCATTTCGGTGAAACAGGAAGAGACCAAAAACAATTGAATACGTCAATAACTCCTAATTTATGTCATATACCTACTAACATACAAATCTGTTTTTTTTTATCTGAAAAAATAAAAAAGTTATAGGGGTGAGCCACTTTTAAGACGACCCGGTATATTAAAAAATATTGTTTCATAATGTAATATAATTTTAAAATTCTTGTATGTTATTTTAGATTCTGAAGATAATTTTAGAATAAACCGGAATATATTTTTAATAAAAACATTATTAATTATTAACAGGGTTATAATTATGTTTTTGTTACAATGTAAGTAAGTAAATAATGTAATGTAAGAGAAAAAATTCAGATTTTACATTTTACTAAAATATTATCTAAATAAGCGCCTTCCTACAACAACGCCACTGACTCCTAATGGGTAAATTGAGAGTTGCCTACCGGTCGAAAGTCGTTTCAAGACTTAAATGGATTATTTAAGTCAAATTTCTTGCAAATTTGGTACTGGTGAACCATATTTTATAGTTCTTGAACAGAAAAAGTCAATAAAATAAACACTTAAGGACTACAAGCTAAGAAAACGCGTTAATACAGCCGGGGACATAGCGGCAACAAAGCTTTACCGCACACGTGCGACGCGTACTACAAGGTAGTAAATGAATGAATAGGCTCCATCGCCTCTAATCGGTGTTGTCATATTGTAAAGAACTTATCCATTTTAAACAGTATCCGACTTATAATTTAGTATTATAAGGACTATTTAATACATCTATGGAATATTAAAACCTACTTTATTAAACTGTAGTATTAATATCTCAATATATGTGTATAACAAGAAAAAAATATTGATAATGTTAAAGACGTGACAACATAGGCTGGCTGAGGAAGGCTCGGGCGACTGTACCCAGAAGTAAACATGTGTACAAAAAAAGATTGTTCGACCGCGTTGAGATGTAAATAGTGTAGTCTATATTTTATTTTAAGTCTATGGTACCACACATTTGGTATTTCAAATCAAAGTTGCCAAAAGAGTCAAATTGTCGTTATGAACTGCATGTGCTCATCTCTAGATAAACTTATGTACATCCATTAAACGTGAAACATCTAAAAGCTGATTCTAAAAGCAAATCGAGCCCATCACATCCCCTGTGAGTTTTGCTATTTATTGTTTCTCTATGTAGTCAAGAAATATATTTTCTCTGTTAAAACACACCAATTTCATTACCCTGTACTGTTTTTTTTGTGTTTGGGGTCATTTAAGATTCATGTCGACCAAAACAACTCACGAAAAATATACAGGGTGTTTCGAAAAACATGTTCCATCTCTCGTGGGGAGATTCACGCGAATAGAATATTTATTTTTCATATCAACATAGATCCGATTCTGCTTTGTTTCGTAGCTACAGGGTGTTAGTCTTAATAATCTTTCGATTTATTAAAATTTTCTTCCAAGTACTTTTAGTGTTTCGAATGAAATTTTGAGGGTAAAAGTTACTATAAGTGCTACATATTTTAATTATAAAAAAGTGTCTATAAATTCATCAGGGA